TTATTAACTATAATGCAAATTCTAGTAATACAAAGTTGGATTTCACTTATCTTTCTGTGGCTTTTGTATGCAGTGACTGATACCACTGAGATAGAGAAGGTATAAACAGGAACAGAACAAATTAGGCTGAAAGGAAAACCTCTGGAAGTCCCTGATTTGATTATGTTCCAAGTAGAATAATTCTCAAAGCTAGATGGAATCAGATATTTGGGAAAAGCTAAAAGGAAAGAAGAAGAAAAAAAAAAGAAAAAGGAAATTCTGGATAATTACAACTTCACATTTCACCCATCTGACTTCTGTTTTCCTCTTTCACCCACGCTTTATCTCTCCAAATAACTCTGTTATTCATGGCTGATTATCAACCATTCCTCTGCGTGTCTGACCCATCTGAATAGCAGAAGACATCTCCACATGAAGTAGAGGCTCTTACGTCCCACCCTCTGATTGCATAGCAAACTACTTTTGAAGATTACACAGTAATGCATAATACTCCCACAAAATACAGCCCTCATCTTACAGGAAAGCTGATTAAACCCATGAGAGCTCACACGTACAAGACCTCCAACAAGTTTTCTCCTCACAAGCAATGCTTCACAGCGTCTGAAGTTTCCTCCTGATTTGTAACTCCTCTTGTACAGAAAATAGAGGAGCATGCAATAGTTCTGCAATTACGTGGTAAGAATCAGCCATGTAACAACTGTACTTTCAGCCAGAACAATGAATGCAATCATGAAGCAATTAGTACAGATGGCAGATGGTTTGCTGCTCTTTTTTTTTTTTTCCTCAAGACTGGCAGGAAAAACTCATGACTGAATAAGAGACTGGCCTGTCAGTAGCGGCAATTCATGTCTGCCGCCCAAGGCAGACACGGAGGAGAGATGTGAACAAAAGCAACCAAGTCACTGAAGCTTAATGAGTTATGGCTCATCAGCTGAACTCCAGTAATTAACAACATTCAGTTGCACACAACACGCAAGGAACTGGGTTGTAAAATGATTTCAGTTAACACAGACTTCCCTACCATTTAGTAAATCTCAATTCAACCAAACAAAAAAGATCAGTGATGCTTATCATAGTGATAGACTCAGCAGGCTATAAAGAGATTGAGAGATGATGCTTTGTGACCCATTTCCTGTTCATTACAGTCAAGCAATAAGAGGCATGCCCTACTTGTTGAATTTGCCCTCAATCAGTACTAAACTATTTGAACCACTCCTGAGAGTCACAGTTCATTCCCAATTTGATTCCTGCCTCTTCAGCACTTGCTCTATTCACCATCTGATTTTCCTGGTTCCACCTGCTACAACGACAAGATGCAAATGATGTAATGAGAACTTTGTTTGCTGGAAGGATGTAAACATGCTTTCTAATTGACTCTTCCTTCTGACTGCCGAGAGCAATATTAAATGAATCTGAAACCTCTACAGCCTCTTCAACTTCATGCATGGCATCAAAGTCCGTGATACTATAATGCCAATTTCTTACCATCCAGATATGTTTCCTCTGTTTCCTCAAGTAATCCTTGATCACTGTGCACACAGTGCCTGAAATCCAAAGAGTAATAGTTCTCTTTCCTTAAATACAGTCTTAACAAAAGAACACAAACTAGCAAACTGCAACATCATTTGTTCCAAACTGCCCAATAGTTCCCATTGCAGTTATCTTCATTGTCACAGGACTACACAATTACTCTGAGAGAATTCTGCCTCTGGTTATATGAGAATGAAACCAAAGGGAGCCATTTACACTTAGGCATGGACAGAACTTGAGCCTTAGTTTGAGTTACATTTAATTAAGTCCAAGTTGATCAATACTCCTCTTTTTGGTTACCCTCTGTGTTGCAAGCTCACCGAAGTCACAAAGTATTTCCATTAGGCTTTCAAGTGGAAAACAGGCCTATGAGTCACACATACATGGAGGACTTTCAAAATTCTACTTTAGAGTTAATTAATACAGATATATAGACTTCTGCAACATTATTTTCTTCTTGCAGCAAAGATACTATATTCTCAATGGTCATCCAATTTGCTAATCAGTGCCCTAACACAAAGAGAATTTACCTGCATCCTCTCACCAAAAGCACCATACGTACTCATCTCAAACACACTCCACAAATTCAGGTTAACACACAAAAGAGAGCTTTGTTTCTACATCCAGTTTGGGTTTTTTACAATTCTGAATAAAAAGAAAGTAGTAGGAGTTTCATGTGGAACAATGAAATTATACTTGCTGTTAGCCATCTGGAGTACTGTGCCCAGGTCTGAAACCCCCAGTACAAGAAAGAGAGGGAGCTGTTGGAGAGGGTCCAGAGGAGAACCACAAAGATGATCGTGGAACTGGAGCACCTCCCCTATGAAGAAAGGCTGAGGGAGCTGGGTTTGTTCAGCCTGGAGAAAAGAAGGCTGCAGGGTGACCTCATTGCAGCCTTTCAGTACCTCAAGGGAACCTATAAACAAGAGGGGACTCAACTCTTTGAAAGGGAAGATAATGGCATGACAAGGGGAAATGGTTTTAAGTTGAGAGAGGGAAGATTTAGGTTGAATGTCAGGGGGAAATTCTTTACAGAGAAAGTGGTGAGGTGCTGGAACAGGCTGCCCAAAGAGGTTGTGGATGCCCCCCTAGCGGTCTTCAAGGCCAGATTGGATGGGGACAACCTGTCTAGTATCAAATGGGGAGATTGGAGGCCCTGCATGTGGCAGGGGGGTTGGAGATTCATGATCCTTGAGGTCCCTTCCAACCCAGCCCATTTTGTAATTCTGTGATCTACTGTATATTAGATGAGTATTAGCTGTACAGACTCTAATTCAATTTATTTTCTCAACAGGATGTTGATTACAACATCTGAAATTCATTTTCTGCTACACCTTAGTTCTATCTGACAAATTTATGACTAGAAGTTTCATTGATGCTTACATGATAAATCTCCTTTTCTTGACACATGGTAAGTTTAACTCCAAAGGGTCCTAAAAGGCAGCAGAGACAAAATTCTTTTCTGTTTCATATCAGCCTGGGGAATTCATCAGCCACAGGGGAAAGAAAACATTTCTATTTTGCCTAATTTCATACCGAACATCTATTAATCACTTTATCTACACCTTCCTCTGAAACAGAGTACAACCATGGTACAATCTCCAAAATGCTATGAGAAAGGTGAGTGCACACAACACTCAGCATGATTCTATATGGTGTAGAATTGAATTAAGCAGGAAAAATGCATTTCCTGTCCAATTTTGAAAGCTACAGGGCTTGAATGGTACTGTGCTTAAAGCACAGGACTGAACATTCATTCCAAGAGTTCTCGTAAACTCACTGTGACCTCAGTTAATTAATTTATTTTCTCAGGCTTACAGTTACTGTAATTACAAACCTAATTTAGGCAAAAGGAAGAACGGCTGTTTAATGTTTATATAATTAATTCAAATGCTAACATGGAACACATCTTCGTATTCAAACATTCACGTTGATATCTACATTAATGTATAAACTAAAAATTTATCTAAAACTTGCATTATTGATTAGATTCCAAGCCTTATAGATTACTTATTTGTAAACCAAAAAGATGGCTGTGCCAAAATACTTCATTCTATTATCCCTTTTGGGAGCTCAGTGAATTGTTTAGGTCTGCTTTCCAGTTTTATTCAAAAACACCAAAAACTTGGCACATGAAATCCACCACTTCTGAGAACAGTTTGCTGCAGTGCTCAGACACTTCACAGTGACTCTACCATTGACTCTCAGTCATCAGTCCTAGTTACAAATTCTTTTGCTAGATCAAAAAGCTTACTCAAATGCTGTCTTCCCCTTGAAAAAAGACATTTATGCACAACAACATAAAATCACAAAGCAGTCTGAGTTGGAAGGGATCTTTAAATGTCTCACAGTTTCACCCTCCCTGCTATAGGCAGGGAAATCTTCCACTAGATTAGGTGCTTTAGGCTCTATCCAATCTGACCTTGAACATTTTGCTCAGAACTTCTCTGAGCAGCCTGTCTTACTACGCTCAGTAAAGAGTTTCTTCCTTATGTCTAACCTAAATCTCTATACTCTAAAACTTCTAGTTTAAAATTATTACCACTTGTTCTATCACTACAGACCCTTGTAAAATTAAAATCTCTCCATCCTTTGTATAAGCCTCTTTAAGTATTAAAACATTACAATAAAGTCTCCCCAGTGCATTCTTTTCTCCAAACTAAACAACTCCAACACCCTCTTACGACTTCCCTTCAATTTCAATTTTGGAGTACAACACAGATTTAGGTCTATAAGGTTCTTCAAAGGAAGTGACTGACTTGTTAATGTTGATGTGTGTTTTTCAGAAACTGCTAACAAAGAGGTCTCTTACAGTTAAGTCTCATTCTGGTATCTCAAGTTGAACTTCAGAAAATCAAGGGAAATTTCCCAGCAAATTTATTCAGCAGATGGACTGCCCATGCTGAAGTAACTGGCCTTCAAAAGAAATTGATTCACTGCTACATTTTTCTTTGAAAATATGCCAACCAGATAGGAACAAGCAATGTCTTATACTGTTCTTGGAACAAGTGCCAGAATAGAGTGAGAGAACTATTGACTATGAGGAGAAGTAGTCACACTAGAGGTTGCTTTGCTTATTGCAAAGGGTCCCAGCTGAATTCTCTTCCCATTACCTGTCACATGATATTGCAAACAGGACCAATGAATAAAGGCAGGCTGACAAGTCAGGCATATATCCTTTACCTACGTCTTACAGATCACAGTATTGGAAGGGACCTCTGGAAATCACCTACTTCAATCCCCTGCTACAGCAAGTTCCCTACAGTAGATTGTACAGGAAAACATCCAGGCAGGCTCTGAGTATCTCCAGAGGAGATTCCATGATCTCTGGGCAGACTGTTCCAGGCATCACGGCTTACTCAATGTCTTCTAGTGGAAACACCAGCTCAGCTATCCCCAAGACTGTCCTGAATTCTCTGTAACAGTTAAGTAGAGAGCAAATAAAACAAAATGCTGGCAACCATTCTTACCTTTTGATCTTGACTATATGCTAAGATCCAGTCTTCCTGCTTTGGGTGGAAGAGCAGACTGTGAATGTAGAAGTTCAGACGGTATTTTTGATACGTGGCACCTTCATCAGTACTAATCAGTAAGCTGCTCTCAACCTCTGGATCAGTCAACAGCATAATCTGTATAGAAGAGTAAGATCAAAATACAGCGTTGAAAAGGAGTCAGAAGAGATGAATTTCAGATCATCTTAATAAATATGTCTGTTTCAATACGCTTCAATGCAGTATCAAAACTAAGTGCAGTCAATCTTTCAGCATGGGAAACAGTGTATTTGAACTATATATATAAACTCTCAATGTACAATTAAATAGGGAAAATAAATATCACTTGTAAATACAGACCCAGATGATATGTTCAGCTATCAGAAAAAAAAAAAAAAAACAAACAAACCTGAGGTTTGTGACATAAGAGTAAGAATAAGTTACTAGACAGTCACAACAAGCTGTTAGGGACTTCATGAATGATATTTTGGAGTAGCAGATTAAAAGTAAGGTGTTCAGAAAATTAAAAAAAAATGAGTAGGAAGGAGTAAAAGTAACATACAAACGAAACAAACTCTAACGGTGAGATTTGTTAAAATCACAGAATCACAGAATGGCCAGGATTGGAAGGGACCTCAAGGATCATGAATCTCCAACCCCCATGCCACATGCAGGGCCACCAATTCCACATTTAATGCTAAACCAGGCTGCCCAGGGCCCCATCCAATCTGGCCAAAGACGGGGCAGAAAAATCACAGAATTTTCAGAGAAGATGACAGTTTCCTTGCCTAAAACATTACAACTTCTCTGTCTGCAAGGAATATTTTGCTTTGGCAGGAGAACACATTTGACAATGCTGTCGGTTCTTTGCATTTCCAGTTTCTATGACTCTGTGAATTAAAAGATGCACTTGTTGCACAATTTCCGCACAGCAAAGTTGCTTCCTAGCTTTGTCCAAGAGTGAAGATACATGGCTTGCAGCTGTCATAGTTGCTTCTCTCTATGGGATTAATTGGTCTGCATTGCTGATGAATCAGAGAGAATGAGAAAATTCTCTTACACATCTCTGCACGAGAGAGAATATATAGGTTTGAATATTACAAAGAGATCATCTTAGTATTTCAACAAGCAGGAAATAGTGCCCATCAGGTGTGGAAATGAAGGATTATGAATGACAAGCATGAAAAATTCTGAATATTTGCCTGGGAAGATATTAAAGCCTTTAATCATTAGTATCATTTAAATTTAATTTCATTCATTTATTTAAGTATTGGTGCTGCTGTTGCTCATCCATCTTTAGATGACTCTGAAATGAAAGGACCATACCCATTTCTCAGAGTAAATTCCTACCTGGTTCAAGCACTGCAAAAACACACTTTTCAATTCTATGTCTTTAGTTAGGCAGGTGGAGTTACGTACAACAACTCGTTACCTATGAATTATAGAGGACCATAAGTCTCGATAGACACAGATGTTAATTAGCTGTATGTGAAGGTATAAATACCCCTATGTCCTTCATTACTGGATAACCGACAGAGGCTTTTATCTATGTCTAGAAAAACGATTTGGCTTGTGACTTGGAAGGTTAGGAGTTTCCTTCAAACTTGCTAGAATTTAGTATCTTCAGTGACCTTAGACAAGTTGTACCGCCTTGCCATACTTTATCTTTAATGTAAAATAGGATAATATTCCCATCATAACCCTAAAGGCACTATCTCCTTCTGATATCTTTGATCTACTTTTGAAATCTTACAATGAAAACATGCACCATTAAAATTAAACATTCATATTTTAATTTAATACTTTCAAATACATCAAGTATATCACTGATATGGATTCTAAACTGAAGATTACGTGACAGAGGGTACACAGAAAGCATTAATATTCAAAGCATCAATACATAGACCATTTATTTCCAATAAGCTACCTATCTAGCTTGTTAAGTCAAAAATAAACAGTGATGTTTATTAGTTACTTACTTTTTTTTGTTACTGGAAAAAATTCTGGGACAATGTTTCTATGGTTAATGCTTATCAACTGAGTACCCTGAATCAGAAATTATGTTTTTCTTACTTTTATGACTTCCTTTATAGGTGGATTTTGTTTATATTAGCATGCGAAAATATCACAGTACAGCATTCAATTGGACTATAGTAACTAGAGCAGAAATAAGCACAAATCAATGGGCTTGATCTCAGCTCTTTGAAGTTAATAGGTCTTTTCATTGACTTTGGATTGTGTCTCTAAGGCAAGTTGTTAATCAAGATCCACTCTAGTTTCATATAACTCTTTTTACCTGCACAAGGAACACATCTGACCTCATCACTGCCATATCCAAGCACATCACAGTCTTAGCACGTTTTCTGTCATGCCACTCCTGTGAAGTGTGAAAGTGCTCTTATCTCCATTTCATAGAATTGGAATTGAGGCACAAACTGCTGTGGCTCTGAAGCACCTAATTCCTCATTCAATCAATAGAAGTTAAGTACCTAAACAGACTTGCCAGCACCCATGACTTGGGCTTTAATCTGCTAACTACCTCCCTGAGCTATTCCCACTGCATTTTCAGGTATCTATGGTCTCCAGAGCTCATCTCTTGGCCACTGACCTGCAGTGACCTGCCAGTCTATATATGTGAAGTGTTTCAGAATACATGTTTTACTACATATGCCGATAGCAAAAGTATTTTACATGTGGCAGAGAGTGCAGAACAGCTGTAGATTTACATGAGGACATACAGAGAGTCATAATCAGGGTATGCAGTTGACCAATGACTCTCCAGCCATTAGTCTGGTTGTTAACTACAAGACCAACTTTCAGTGTTGGGACAGTATTCTCTGTACCACCATCATATCCTACACTGAAATCACTTTGCAAAAATGTCCTAAAATGAAACGAAATAGAATTAAGCGGTCACTACTAAAATCACATTCAGAGCCCCATGTAACTTACAAAATCATAGCATGGCTTGGGTTCAGAGTGACTTCAATCATTTAGTTCAAAACCAGACCAAATAAAGTTAGTTTAAATACAAGATGTCTGCATGCAAATAATCAGTTACAAATCTGAAAAACAGCGCTTAATGGATGTGAAGCAGAAACTGACATCTGAAATTTTTTTCAAAATGAAAGGAAAACATCCCGTGTATCTACCTGTATGAACCTTTCAGATCAGACCAGTAGTATGACCCTGAAATTAATCCCCCAGATTTTCAGGAGAAGTCTCTATAGCAAATCCCTATAGATCATTATCCGGCACAGTTCATAGACTGATCTCAGTACACAGGGACTGAATTTTCTTTCAGTAACACTAAAACAGAATGTATGGTTCATAAGCACACCTAATGTATTCCAACCACTACAGAACATTCAGCCCTGAGTACCAGACTAAACACCTGTTTGAAGTCTAAATACCCATATTGTGAACGTTATCTCAGCATCAACTACTTCATAACACAGTCCTGCTTTCACAGTGCTGAACTGCACACTGCACTAGCTTACATATTGCCTAAGTTGCCTGGAACATAAATGAGAAAGGAGAGAAAGTACAATTGATATTAATGTTTTTGTTGTTGCAGTGTAAGAAGTACACAGTAAATGAATTTCAGACTTTTCTTTGAAATAAATGAAGCCAATTTGTACTTTGAAGTAGCCTATTACCCATTGACTTGATGCATTTGCTTATAAAGAAAACAAAAAGTGGACACACATTCTGAACACAAAATCAAGGAAAACAAAACCAGCAGCAATAACAAAGAGAATCTAAGCTTAGAAGTCAAATATCTCATTAAGTCTTTAATATCCAACAACATCTCAGAAAGAAGATTAGAAAGAAACCACCATTATAAATTTCCACCTCGCTGTAGGAAATGTACTGGATGTAAACTCCTCGGAGAAGGAGCTATCTTCCCTGTTCCTGCAATGCCCTATACAGCATATTGTTGCTTTCCCAGCTAGTACTGGTTTCTGGATAAATATATTCTGAACATCAGAGAGGCCATTGCTCAAGAAAATGTATCTGTTAGTGACTTGGAAAGAAGAAAGGATAAACTGGTGACAAAGACTGCTTATGGCAGTAAAGTATTCATGATGAAAAAAAACATCCACCAAAAACAAAAACAAAAGACAACTATAGAGAGCTGTAAAAGGATTTCACAATACTGAATACCTGAGCAGTAAAATGACAGGTGAAATTCAGCAATGATGTATGGGGCAGTGTCAGGGGAAGATAGAGAAAGACAATCCCAAAGTAACAGACAGAACAATAGAGTCTCCATAATTATTTTATTTCAGGAGAGATTTATGTGGGATTAAGCATAGAGTCCTATGAAAACACAAGCTCCTTCCTCAGATTCTGTCAAAACCACTCAAATACAGCAGTAGGAATTATTAGGAAATAAACAGATTGATAAATAATCCTATTAGGTCACTGGACAGTGTTCTCACATTTTAAACACTGGGTGTTGTTCTTGTTCCTCCATCTTAAAAAAAAAAAAAAAAAAGTAGTAGCGTAGTAGTATAAAACAGAGAAGAATAATATGAGTGTTTGAAGAATAGAACAAAACATTTTTCACAGAAGCAGCAAATAAATGAACTATTCAACTTGCAAAGGAAATAAATGAGAGGCAATTTGACCACATCTACAGGACTATGAATGGCCTGGAAGTGCCTACAATTATTCACCCTTTCGTAACACAAAATGGCCAAGTCTCAAATGAAACAGTAAAACTGACATCCAAATCACAGGCAGTTCCTGGATTTTTACCTGTTTAAGCCACAGAATTTACTGACACAGTACGTCGCAAACATCAAAACTTAATCTTAATAGACAAAATTAACAGATATATTCTTGGAGAAAATATCAATCAATCCAAAAATACTAATTTTGTCTTGAATCTGAGTCAGAAATAGTCCAGAAATTCTGGAAAAACATACAGGGAAATATTCTGTACTCACATTGTTCTGACACTTCCCTCTCAACTGAGAGCAGTTTGATTTAGCAAGGCTGTTCTCATAGACATCACTGGAGAGTGAATAAAAATTATACATGATAATAAGATTACCAGCACTGGTAGTCTGATCAAACAATTTGTATGTAAAGAATTGGGTTTACTGTTTTTTATCTTGACAGTTTTTAAA